ATTTTTGTAACACTTAAGGTGGATAATTTTAATTAGTGTAATTCACCTTTTGCTTAATCATCACAGTTGCCTGATATAGTTAACTTTTTATTTAAAATTTTATAAGGTAATTTAAAAAAGTTATTTCTGAATTAGCTAAGCAAAATTTTACATTAGTTTAGTAATTAGCAAAGGACAGAATAAATTACACATCAGATCTAAGTGCGCCACATGCATCTGTAGAAACACAGCGCCATAATATTTATTAAAGATGGTGTCTAGCGAGAAAGAGCATGGCATTTGCAAGGGAAGGCAGGGTGGGGAGGGAGGGTTGAATAATACCTTTGAGATATCAAGATGAAACAACAGGGAAACATGGAAAAAAATCAATGCTCTGGTTTACCCACAAACTATTTGTTGCCATACAGAAAAATATTGGTCGTTACATTAACAGTTTAAACATCGTTTTCTCAGAAAAGATGAGGATAACAGTAGGATGAAGCAGAAAAACCACTTAGAAAAAAAATGCGTCTCGTCTTTTGGTTTCTGATTGTACGTTGAGAAAAAAAATTAAATAAACTTGATCAAATTTATCGGCATGCAAAAACACTATAATAAAAACAAAAAACCGTAAGCGTTAAAATCTCAAACAATAAAAATACCAGTAGAGTATAGCAGAACAACCATATTGAAAGTAAATAAGGAATCACAGGCCATATGATCAGAGAAAATAACGATAAAAATAAAAATAGATATTACAATAATGAAAACCGACACAGCCCTGATAAGCAGATCACAGCAGTACACTAGCTCCTGAGGTCAAAGTTATGTTACAAAGTGAAGCTGGAGCTAAGGATTGCTACATTGTAACAATATAGTTAAAAAAATATCTAACACCTGAACTTTAACCCCAAAGGTCAAAGCTACTGAGTTAAGATGGAAGTAAAGAATGATAAATAATAGTCATTGGTTAAAAAAAAAAAAACTGTCATACATCTCTGTGGTGAGTAAAGTTGAAGCCAAAAACATCTAAGAAATAACAATATAATAAGTATTACAACAACAAAAACAGTCAACTTTAACCCCTGAGGTCAAGGCTACAGAGGGTATTAGGAGCTGAAATGCTTAAAGTAACAAGGTAGATAAAAATCAAGCAGTGACCTCAGGGTGAATTTCAAATCACTTGTCTATAGAGAAGACATTCACATCTATTTTAAAAGGATACATTATAATGAGATGGTAATCTCATTTGGCTTTAGAATATAAAGAGCCAATAATAGTATAAAATGTATGTACTTCAGTGAATTATAGAAAGCTAATCTCATTTATTATGATATAGACATGCCGTGTTATAATATATTTCTATCAATTTGCTATTTTTTAAAAATTTAATGTGAAAAATTATATGAACAATATATCAGTATAAGGCATTATGCAGACATGTGAATTTATGTAGGTAGGTGAAATTGATGACAAGGAAGCTTAGCTTTAAACATGGCAAACACTGATCAAATGTAAGGTGAAAATACTGGTCAACTTTGGCTTAAGTATTATAAAATAGAAGCAAATTCTCAGAGATAGGCAAGCAAACAGTGGATCAGCTAGATAAAATGTCACAGTAGAGCAGAGGATTTTGTTTGACAGTAGAAGAACATCACCACAGTAGTGGCAAAATAGAAAAATGTGTGTACACAGATGTAAGTATTGAGTTGTATGAAAAACATTAAGTTAATTAAAACCACAAAAAGTAAAAATAATAGAATAATTATGGTAGGATAGAATCTCACTGTGTTATATGTACCTGTAAGCAATCCAGTAGTTGACAAGACACTATTCAATTATATAAAACAATTCTAATGCATATATATATATATATATATATATATATATATATATATATATATATATATATATATATATATATATATATATATATATATATATATCACTAGTTAAGAATTATAATTGTTGAAAATATTGGTTGAGGAAGCTAGTGGGGAATGGGTATGCATGTCACTTTCCCCTATCCAGGGAGTGGAATAGAGAAGAGGAATCATATATATTATAATAAATAGAATTTTGGGGTGGGGTCAATAGTCCATCCCAGATGCTGAAGAGTGCAGCTAAATGAATTTTTTTTTAACTACAACAAGTATTTAATATCAGCTTGATTAAATCTTCAACTATGAAAGAAGTATTCTATAAAATAATAATGCCAATAAACTATTATAAAAATATAGAATAACAAAAAGAAAATTTCAAAGCAATTGAAATTTTAAAATTACAATTCATAATAATTGGAAAGTAAGGGATACAATTATTTAAAGTTTACAAGTTAATTTGGAAATTTTATCATCAAATAATGGAATGGTAAAAATTCAGTTTCTTAAAAATAATGATAAAACATCAACAAGCATCCATTTCAATATAAATCAGATTAAATGTAGGAGGAGGATTAAATATAGGATATGAATAGGTACAGAAAAAAAAAGTAGACATCATCTGTATTAGAGATAGATATTAGTAGCTTACTGGCTTGATAAAAATCTCATAAACATAAAAAATATAAAACAAGTATCCAGGATTTCTAAATTGAAAAATTAGTGACAGATTCTCCCTTTTGTTTGTGAAGCGTAGTGGGGGCCATCATAGTAGGCTGCAGTCTTACAAGATAAACAAAGATAAAAAAAATACCTATTTGAACATCAAAGTATTATTAACACATATATTGCACTATATATGGTAAAATGTACGAGACATTTTGTTATAGAATTACAAAAATTAGTATAGTATGGAAATGTACACAAATAAATTGTTTATAACAACAGTTGTTTTATTATAATCAATTAGATATAAAAAAATTTTTTTTTTTAATAATCAAAAATGAAATTAGCTCAGATCATTGTCACTAGACAATGCTAGGCTTATGGACACTGTTTAGGTAATTAGTCTTAGGCTTATAGACACAGCCAACACACCTCATACTCAAAGGGTATGACAGTATGAATATGATGTTCAACTAGGCTAAGTCAACATATTAGTACAAGCAGCGTACATATTTTTTCATGTTGGGACATAACATTTGCCATTTGGGTTTATGTACTAAGTTTTTACAGCAGATTAATCGCAAAGTAAGTAAAATTGAATTTTGTAAATTTGAAACAAACTGCATAACTAGACCAGCAGCTACTGGTGTAATTTAAGTAGCAGATGTTGCAGCTCTCAGGGAGAGCTTAAGTGATTTACGTCAAAAAACATTCTCTCATTTACAATGATTTTATTTTTGCTGTACTTGATTACAATTTATAAGGCTTAGGTTGTCCGCTAAAGAGAATGAAATAAATACACGCTTTTGTTTGTATGACAGAGGGATGGGATTAAATGTCAACAATAATCTTGGGATTTTATGCTTTGCTTCAACTTTTGTTTCATACTCCAAAAACAGAGAAGAGTTTAAAGTGCTTACTATTTTTCATGTCAAAAAGTTATCAGTAGATATTTAATTTAAATTTTGTTTTTTAAATTAAAATGTATTAATTAAAAAATTAATTTAGTAACTGCAATGTAAATGTGATAGAATAAGCTGGTACAGAAGATACTGAGTGGCAGAGGCGTAGCGAGGGGTGGAGCGGGGGTGCGGATCGCACCGGGTGACACCATTTAGGGGGGGTGACACCAAGGCAAAAAATAAAATATATAGAGAAAAATTTGAGAGGGGTGGGTGCAAATCAAAAGTTTAAGGAGGGGGGTGCAAATCGAATGTTTGAGGGGAGGTGCGCAAATCGAAAATTTGAAATTCTGTCCCCAGGAAGGGTTGCTACGCCTCTGGGGGGGGGGTGACACCATTAAGTGCCGCACCGGGTGACACCCGACCTCGCTACGCCACTGCTGAGTGGAGACAGAGAAGTGATTGTTTCAAGAAGTTGTAAGATAGTTTCACAATGCTGAATCCAGAATCCTGATAGTTTTTAATAACTGTCAGTTTCAAGAAATTTAAATCTAGTTCGTGATAGTTTCACAAAACTGTCACAGTTCTTGGCTAGCTTTTGATAGTTGCACATAAATGCAAGCAGAATCCTGATAGTTTTGCATAACTGACAGTTTCTGGAAGTAGTAAGACAGTTTGAGATAGTTCATTTACTGGGCTAATATGTACTGAGCAGAACAGGTAAAATTCAAGACAAGTTATCTATAATCTATAACGCAAGCAGTAGTCTTACACCTGAATAAGCTGTAGGTTGAGAATTTTTTATAGGAACATCAAAGGAAGACAACAATAACAAATGATAACTTTTTTTGATTAAAGTTGAACATATAGAATTAAACAAAAATTAAAACAAACAAAAATTATGCATGGCTTATGCTTGTGTTCAAGGAATATCTGCTAGTGATAGTAAAAGTATTTAAGATAACTTTTACTCTATCTACAACTAGGACTGGACAAATTTATTTCTTGATAAGGCTTATAAATGATAGATAAAAATCTCAACATCTGAGCACGTTAGTTTATATAATGCTAAAAGGGTATAAGCATTACTATATAATAGATTAAATGTACACTTTCTAATTACCATACATACTACAGTACACTTTTTAAGAAAATAGATTTTAGGAAAATTCAAACAATGCCATGCAAAAGCCATAAATAAGACAGAATAATTATAATTTAAAAAGTAAACATATTTGTGCATCTTAGTATATATACTGTTGTAACAATTAGGCCTTGATAATTAACATTATCAAGTGTGATAATCCTTGATCTTGCTGGCCCCTCATAAAGTATAACACACAATTACATAATCTATAACTAATTGTAAGTTATCAATTACTCAACTCAGTCTAAAATAAATGGAATTTTTCTTCAAGAGAAATACAATAGAACCTTACTGAAACAGAACACAATGATTCAACATTGGTTTTTCATTGCATGTCTTAGGTAATAGATTTTGAATATAAGATTGGAATTAAATGTCTAACTATTTTCTTTGACTGTGTTCCATTATACAGGAGGGTGGGGGTTTGTTTAAGGCAGGCTTCACTGTATACAAAAACAAAATTAAGAAACTAATCACATAATTTCAATGGAACAAAATAAAATGGTTGAGATCAGTGACATTTTAAAATAATTTGTTATAAAGTAGATACCAGCTTCATCTGAGCTGCAATTAAAAAAAAATAATTTTGTAGTTAAATAAACATGTACACAATAATTGAACTCAACCTTACATAAAGAAAAAAGTAACTAATACATTGTATTCAAAGAAATGATACAAATTGAAAAACTAAATTTTAAATACCCAAATCAATTTTAAAACAACACAAAAAAGTAAGAGCAAATAATTTTATTTCTCATTCACCCAGAGATAGAATAACGATTTCTTTTAATCCATCTTTTCACACCTAACAAATTCAATTACTGAGATGACATTCAGATTTGTTTTAGAATTCTGTTCCAAAAAAAAATTTGTCTATTTTTGTACATTTTTTTTAAAAACTTTGTTCTGTAGGCCTACCATTTTGATGCAACTTTTCGATGGATCCAGGCGGGGGCATATATTGCTGTCAGAACTAAGTCTAGGCACAAATATTGGCCAAGTGTAAGACCTTAACAAGTGGCAGCGAGAACAACGGGAAAAGAGGTGGCGACTTTAGAAACAATAGGGTGATATTAAAGTAAAGGCTAAATTTATGTTGGCAATTTTTATATAGAGAAGAAATATAAAAAATTGTTTTAGTATTAAATGTTGTATTACAAAAGTTAAGAATAAATAGATAATTTTCTTTTTTTGTATTCTATTACCTCTGTCTATACTAGACACAGACAGAATTATTTTGATACAGAATGTGCAATTCAATGAAAGCAGGACCGTCTACAGTATTAATATTTTAAAGAGTTATATTAGAATTTTATGGCATTCCACACAACATTATTATGTTGGACAATCAAAGCCTCTATGTGAATATTAAACAAAATGCCATTCAGTTTTATAAACTTCTTTGATAGAAGAGTTGCCTAGACTTGTAAACAACATACCATTAAATTAACTTTTCTGACAAAAGGACCCCCTATACTTGTAAACAACATGCCTTTAAATTAAATTAACTTTTCTGACAAAAGGGCCCCCTAGACCTGTAAACAACATGCCATTAAATAAACCTTTCTGACAAAAGGGCCCCCTAGACTTGAAAAGTCTCCAGCTGTTGTGTTGTGTCCCGATGCTGATCAACACTGCTGTCGCTGTCTTGGTCATCTGTCTTTGTGACACCTTTCACCTCTACTGCCACAGGTTCCCCCTCCACATCCGAACAGCTGTCTGAAACAACCACCTCATCATCTGAAGAATCCACCACGAAAAAATCAGAATCGGAGTCAGAATTGTCTGTGACTAAAATCTTGGGCAGTGAGTTGCCACGGTAACGGAGGATATCTTCTGGACTTAGGCTTAACATTTTACAAATCTCAAGTCCAGAGTCTGAATTAGATCTGGTTAGGCTAAGCTGTTCTTTTAACTTATGTCTCGGCTCTTTATAATCTATGGTGTCTTTAACTTGATTGTGGGTGGAGATATCTTCATCGTTAACTTTAATTTCAACCAAGGGGCGGGAGGTGTTAGCCAAATTGCCACCCTCAGGTGTCGTGGCATCTGACGCCTTGAAAACCTGTTGCAGCATGTCCAGTTCAGTTTTCCTGATCTCCACTTGACCGGAACTCTGACTTCTAGAACTTTTCTTCATGTCCGTCTCACGCAGCAGCTCAACCTCTTCAACTGGGCCGGTCGCCACTTCCTTGTTGTTATTCGACCCTCCTGGAGGAAACTGCGACTTGTCTTTTGGCTCGGAGCTTTTGGTCTTTTTGCCGAAATCTTTCTTGATGGAAGTTACTTTTTCCTTGACGGATGTCCCAGCGCGCCGCACAAGCCCTGATAAAGGAGATGATTTTGTTTTCGTGGCTGTGTCCGTTTTAGCTGGCTCCTGCTTCACCACAGGCTGGTTATCCTTCTGGATGGACTTGGCGCCGTCCTCTGCTTCTAATGAATTGAGGCACATCTGTAGACCAGAGCAGTACTGCAGCATGAGCAGACGCATGGCGTCCAGCTTCTCCCCCGACTTGATGGCCTTGTTGTTTAAAGCTTTGATCTCTGCCTTTGTCTTGGGCGTGGGGTTTTGTTTGTCGGAACTTTCTAGTTGCGCCAGGTCTTTTTCGATGGCTTCTTTGTTCTGCATCTCCATCTTCAGCTGCTCATCCAGGTTTCTGACCTAAGGGTAAAAATAAAAGCTTTGTGTTAATGGTCGGGCTAGGGGAACGAGAAAGAACACTTACAAGAGGTACACAGCTTAGTGGTTCAAGGGTTAAAAATACACAGCCTTGATAGATTTAACAAGGACACTTGTGTTGTGGTGTGTGGTTAACAGCTAAGTGGTGCAAGGGTTAAAGTTTAACAGCCTAGTTAGTTTTAACAAGAAGCACATGGTATTAATGAGAGGAAGAAATTGAGATGACCACATAATCTTGATGTATGCCATGGTTACATAAAACAATTTAGACAATTATATAGACAATGTCTGCAAAGTGAAGAGTTTTTGCGACAAAATCTGTCTGTCTGTATATATATATGTGCATATGTGTGTGTAACCTTAACTTAATTTCTTGTATCTTTCCAGGGCTTGGTATATGATGTTAATATTTAAAGTTCTGTGCTCATTGTAAAACAGACTGAAAAAGCTCCAGTGGTACTTCTTTGAGGTCCCCAACCTCTGCACAACAAAGATTACCCAAGCCAATGCTCTAACAATGTTCAGCTGTGACTTACCCCCCCTAACCCCCACACTAAGTTCAACAAAGCAGCAACATTACCAGCTCCTCGAGTTTATCTTTTCTAAGCGTCGGGTCCATGTCCATGTACAGACGAGAGCCTAGGTCTTTAGCGGCCATTATGGCTTTATCATTGAGAGCAGTCTGGACTTTACTTCTCTTTAAGTGCTTCATTACATTGTCTTTCATTCTTTCTGTCTGCTCTTTAAGGATGCGAAATCTTCTGCCAGATACAGCAGTCGGCTAGAAAATGTAAATTACCACAAATGAATACATACATACATACACATATATATATAAATAATGTAAATATATAAATATAAAATATATATTACATATATAGATATAGGTATATAAATTATCTTATTGATGGATAGATATTTACAGAAAATATCTTACTTATTGGCTATATAAATCATATAAATTAAAGATATTTTTTTATTTTGATTGAAAAACATCTGGATATCTTTGTAAAAACTGGCTCAAATATGCAGATTAAAAAAAATAAGAGAACTGGCCTAGAAGGCTTTGTTTACTCTTAGTTATGAAGTTTGAATTACTTTATGTAAGCTAGTTACTGGTATGGAGACTAAACAACCAATCAACAAGAGTTTTGAACAGGGGAAATTAACTCCAATTGACTCAGCCCAAAGGTATAAAATATGTCAGAATCTATGCAAATTAACAATATCAGGAGACATACCTAACTCACACAATATATTTGTTCCACTAAACAAATTTGAATTGTATTTTTTTTAATTCTAAAGTAAGAGAAATGTCTATTTCAACTTTGTTTAACACAAAACAGAATGAGAGTTAGAGAGATAAGAGCCTCACATCTGGTGTGATGTCCGCCTTCTGTAGTCCAGATGTTGTGGGTTCATCCGCTGCGGCTATCACAGTCTCCAACATCTGGGCCAGGTTTTGAATTGAGTCCCCATCTTGTGGGTTTATATGCTGCAGTGAGAGAAAACATAAGGTTATCAACATTTTCATTTGAGGCATTTTTTATACTGTTAAAATGGAAAAAATAAATCAAGGGAACATTTTGACAACACCAAATAGACTTGCCTCGTAAGGTTCATCATCATCATTTAAAAGTTCATCTTCTAAAGCTGTACATTAAAAAAAAAGTATCAGTATTAAAAATCATTTCAAGTGTTTACAGTAGTAAATTATCATTCGCATAGTACACAGAGACAATAAAAAGTTATGAAGACACAGAACTATATTCACTGCAAACAGCTAAAACATCAGCAAAACAAAATGTTTTGTCCAAAAATATTAGAAGGAATAATTTGTATATTTCGTGTTGCCTATGTATTCGCTATACACAGCTAGAACTATTGGTTAATGAAAAAAACTAGCAGCTAATGCTATAACTGCTTGCTCTAGTGTGACTGTAGTAAAAACTAAAAAAAAAATGTCAGCTATAACTGCCAGCTAATGAAAGAACTGAGAGCCTCAACAGACACACAGAGATGTTCCACCCACCCTGCTTGTCCACAGGATCATCTGGCTTCAGTGAAGGTCTGACCTTGCCTGCGTCAGCCAGTGGCACCCACACTTCATCAGAGTCAGTTCCACTTCTTTTTCTGGCACCATGTCTGTGGCAGGGATAAAATATCTGTCAATATCTTGACATCAACGGGTCAGGTTTATAAAATATCTGTCAATATCTTGACATCAATGGGTCAGGTTTATAAAATATCTGTCAATATCTTGACATCAATGGGTTAGGTTTATAAAATATCTGTCATTATCTAGACATCAACTGCTCAGGTTTATAAGATATCTGTCATTATCTTTACATCAACGGCTAAGGTTTATAAGATATCTGTCATTATCTTGACATCAACATGTCAGTTTATGCCTTGAATAGTAGTGACCATATGATGATCTAGTTGTTAATAATAATCAATAAAAATGAAACCTATTGACAAATATATATATAAATAACAGTGCTGGCTGAATTGAGACTTTCGCAAGAGAAAAAGTATTTACATCAGTTCTTAAATTCACCATTACCAAGGAAAAAGGGAATGGTGGTATGTGCTATAGAGACTAATATAGCAAAAGCCTTTTTGAAGATGGGATGGGGAAAAAAGTTATTGACTTATAAATGGATAAACTTATGAAAATTAATTTGTCTGTAAACAAATTGGTTACAGAAAAATAATTGGGAAATGTCAGAAAAATTAATCAAGAGTATTTTCAAATTTTTTTTTATCTGGCAGAAGTCTAGTTTTGAGAAAAAAAAAATGTTTTTCTCAGTAGAAAATTTACTTAAAAAGAAAAAAAATCATATTTACCTCAAAAAAAAAATAAAAAAAAATAACAAAACAGCATAGTAGCAACACCATAGCAACTGTAATGTTTTATGTGTATCAACAATTCATATTTACAAAGTTGTGGAATCCCAACTTACTCTGTACAAATGGTGTTCAGCAGACATTTCACCAAGCATTTCTTATGGCAGACCATGTTGCAAGTTCTACATTTAAAGGCATCCTTCATCCAGATCTACAAAAGAAAGTTTTAGACCACAGTGTATAATCAATTTGGCAATATAATAATGATTTAGCAATAGGCCTACTTAAAAATAAAATAAAAACTGTACCTTTTTACCACAGTAGTCACAAAAGGTTGCAGTGATGAATGTTTTACTGTCAAATTGATGGTGCCCTTCTTTGCTCTCTCTGTTAATGGAGTTTAAAGCATGTAGATCACAATGCAGGGGAGACAAGCAGAAGTTCTTGAATATATTTCAGATATCATCTCAGGGGAGACAAGCATGATTATATGAATTTATCATAGAGATCATATCAGGGGAGACAACAGGAGTACATGAATACATTCCAGTGATCATATTCTATTGTGTATTCTGTAAGGCAATGTCCTCAAATATGTTTGGCATATAATGCAAAAGTTGTATTATAAGATCAAGTTCTGAAGAAGATTAGTTCAATTAAATAATTAGTATAAAGCATCAGTTTATACAAATAAAATCTACATGAGAATAGATATTAGGCCCCTAAGACTTAAATGATATTTCAAATTTTTAATCACTAATAAATCAACCAATATATATTAAAATCAAATTCTTTAAGCAATTTCCTTTCCACTCCCTCCTGGACTCTGATATTGACCTTTAACCCTTTTACTGTTACCCCTTTCAAATTTGTACAATCACATAGAGTCTATATGACATCATGTAAATACTCATTATGTACATTTGTAAAACCTTTCGTTTTCATTTGATGTTCAAAATTATGTAAAGAATTTGATGTTGATGTACTTGTTTTAAATTGCAAATAAAAGTATTTAAAAAAAAACGTAAAAGAAACCAGTGAATAAGATCTATCTATGTATGGAAATTCATCCACCTAAATGAAATGGTACCCAAGTAATCGGTATTTTAGAAACTAGGAATAAAGTAAAGTACCACTTCCAAATATATAAGAGGTCACTCAAAAATTGAAAGTGCTCCAAAAAATGTTGTCTACCTAACTGAAATAATTCTCAAGTAATTGTGCTCATATGTAAATAGAGTAAAGTACAAGAAAGTAAAAATTGCCAGTACTCATATTTCAGGACTGAGTTTTGAGATTCCCCCCCCCCCCCCCATCACATGCTGGGCGTAATTCAAAACACATGACTGCTAATGTAAACTCAACCAGCTAATGTAAACTCAACCAGTTAATGTTAACAACTCAATCAGCTAATGTAAACTCAACCAGCTAATATTAACAACTAATGTTAACAACTCAAACAATGTAAGTTAAATTAAATAATGTTAACAACAAAAACAGCTAATGTTAATCAACCAGCGAATGTTGTAGTTAACAAACTCACTTTCTCAGCTCCTCAGGTATGTTGTCGTGTAAGTTGATACCTGTGTGTTTGGATGTTTTCATGTTCCTGTCCAGCAGCTGTTGGTGCAGCTGGACAGCTGACATTTTACAGCTGGTCAGTGCCTGGCGCTGGCCAGCTGACAGCAGGGAAGGGTTAAAGTTGAAGGCCAGGGAGATATCCCCATACATCTGATTTGGGTCAAACCCTTTGTGAACTGACCATAACTTTATTAACCTAATGGAAATAGAAGAAGTCATTAGAATATTGAGATAAATAAGGATAAATATAAAATTAAATGGGACGGAGTGGCCCTAGTGGTACAGCGCTAGACTGCTAACTTGAAAGTCTCGAGTTTGAATCTGGGTTCTAGTCAGTAGAATGTCCCTGAGCCAACACAGCTCTAAAACAAAGGCAGCTAAGCATAGTACTGACCACACTATGCTGAGGTCATTGTACAGATTAACTCTTCTTCATCTGACCCTTGTGTCTTGGGCACAAACAGGGAAAGATGCTATTAATTTAAAGGAAAAAGCCAATTTAAATAGATACACAACTTTGCTAAACCGGAAGAAAACAGTCATTAAACTATAAAAGTCATTAAAGATATAACTATAACTTAAAGTGATTTTGTGTAAAAGAAAAATGGTAAGGCTCAACACATTAAAAAAATATTATATTTTTCCTTCTCAGTTATTAATGATTGTGTGGATCTGTAATGTATTTAGTGGTGACACCCCTCACTTTTTCAACTTGTTTACAAGATAAGCTAATGCCCAGCAACAAATGATATGTGAAGCAAAACAACAATACACCCCAACGTAAAAATGTTGCATGGCTTGGTAAAACACATGAATGCTAACCCAAATGCCTTGTGTTCAGTTCCTGAAACTGAGCCTGAAGGACAGCCCTGAGCACAACCAGTTCTAATGAGTACCTAACTCAAGTTGGGAGAAGGAAAGAAGACTGAGTATAGAGTTGACTATACATACCAGTCACAAAAATTAGGGGACTCTACTTCACCTGCCCAAGTTCAGGTCCAAAAGTGTAACTCTAACAATGTAAACCAATATAAAGACTTACTCTGCCTCTGTTTTATAATGGCCATGCTTCAGTTTGAACCTGTCCTGTAGTTTACCATTCAAGGTGATCAGACAGTGCAGGTAGATGTCCTCCAGGTTCAGACTCACCTGCCACAGACAGGTACAAATTAGTGACGTTAATCAAGCCTTAATCTTCTTGCTAATTAGAACATTTATCTAAATTGTTCTAAAAACTTATTTTGATGGTGTAATGTTACAGTTGATTTAGTTAATAAAATCAAGACATTTAATTCATTTTATTTCATTACTTAAAGACATGCCTTTATTGAAAATAATTTTTAATGACGTTACAAGCCTAAAACAAAAACATTACTCATGCAAGATAGAAGGTTGTTTTAAACACACAGCTAAAATTATTATCATGATACACAACCAACAAGATTATCATTATACTCACACAGACAACAAGATTATCATTATACTCACACAGACAACAAGATTATCATTATACTCACACACAACAAGATTATCATTATACTCACACAGCCCACAAGATTATCATTATACTCACACAGCCAACAAGATTATCATTATACTCACACAGCTAACAAGATTATCATTATACTCACACAGACAACAAGATTATCATTATACTCACACAGCCCACAAGATTATCATTATACTCACACAGCCAACAAGATTATCATTATACTCACACAGCCCACAAGATTATCATTATACTCACACAGACAACAAGATTATCATTATACTCACACACAACAAGATTATCATTATACTCACACAGCCCACAAGATTATCATTATACTCACACAGACAACAAGATTATCATTATACTCACACAGCCCACAAGATTATCATTATACTCACACAGACAACAAGATTATCATTATACTCACACACAACAAGATTATCATTATACTCACACAGCCCACAAGATTATCATTATACTCACACAGACAACAAGATTATCATTATACGCACACACAACAAGATTATCATTATACTCACACAGCCCACAAGATTATCATTATACTCACACAGACAACAAGATTATCATTATACTCACACAGCCCACAAGATTATCATTATACTCACACAGACAACAAGATTATCATTATACTCACACAGCTAACAAGATTATCATTATACTCACACAGCCCACAAGATTATCATTATACTCACACAGACAACAAGATTATCATTATACTCACACAGACAACAAGATTATCATTATACTCACACAGCCCACAAGATTATCATTATACTCACACAGACAACAAGATTATCATTATACTCACACAGACAACAAGATTATCATTATACTCACACAGACAACAAGATTATCATTATACTCACACAGCCAACAAGATTATCATTATACTCACACAGACAACAAGATTATCATTATACTCACACAGCCAACAAGATTATCATTATACTCACACAGCCAACAAGATTATCATTATACTCACACAGACAACAAGATTATCATTATACTCACACAGACAACAAGATTATCATTATACTCTCACAGCAACCAAATTTATCATGATACAAAACCCACAAGATTATCCTGATACTCACATAGCCGACCAGAACATCATGTTTGGATGAGCTGATAATCTCCAGTTTATCTGAGCGATCGCCTCCCCTGCTCCAGACACAGACATTTAAAAACTTATGAGCTGGTTCCACAGAGAACAAAAAATTCTGATTCCAGACTGGGTTCTAGGAAAATAGAAAAAATATATCAAATAACTGTTTATCCTAGCAACCAATCATTTTGCTTCATTTGTAACACAAGAATCAAACTCGTTTAATCTACAAATATTCCATTACTATAGTTTTCTTGTAAAATGGTCTGAATATACTTTCCTTGCAATACATTTTTCTTGAAACCAAATTTTAAAAAACAATAACTTTAAACAAAAGTTTGTATGTATGTCAATATAATAATTTTTTCATGTGGTTGGTGCATTTATACAAGATTATGTTAGTCATGTGACGTGGGTGGGTTGGTTATTAAATTTATTAGGATAAAGATGTAAGTATTTACCTCTGAACCGTCCTTGAACTTGGTTGTCTTTGCCTTGGTGGGAGAATGAGGTTGATCCTGTGAAAATTGTAAGCTGATTTAGTGAGCTTAAATGATTGTTAAAATATAAATTTTCAGGGCTGATATCTTTTGTCCTAAGATATTTTGTGGGAGATAAATTGTCTGAGATAGTTTGTCCTGAGATCATTTCACCCAAATGATATATAAATAACATATATATATATATATATATATATATATATATATATATATATATATATATATATATATATATATATATATATACAAAGAATAGAATACACGGCACAAGAGTAAGCAGTATTATGAAAGTAGGGGCTACAAACCTTAAGTACAGGTGGGGGTGGTCTAAAGAGGGGTTTGCACAACTAAGAAAAGGTTCAGGACAGTGAAGGTGGGGTGGTCTAAAGAATGAGGGGGGAGGGGTTTACACAGCTAAGAAAAGGTTCAGGACAGTGAAGGTGGGGTGGTCTAAAGAATGAGGGGGGAGGGGTTTACACAGCTAAGAAAAGGTTCAGGATAGTGAAGGGGGAGGAGTGGGGTGGTTGAACTGAGTGTTGATGTTACACCTTAATCGTAGGTTCTGAGCGGTGAGGATGGGGATCAGGGGCGGTGGAGGATTCTGCCCCTGGTAATTTTTCAGGAGTGTTGCTGTGCCAGCTGCTCACTTTCTGTCAATACACATTTTTGTTTGATTAGTTCAATACACATTTTTGTTTGATTAGTTCAATACACATTTTTGTTTGATTATGTTCAATACACATTTTTGTTTGATTAGTTCAATACACATTTTTGTTTGATTATGTTTAATACACATTTTTGTTTGATTAGTTCAATACACATTTTTGTTTGATTAGTTCAATACACATTTTTTCTTGATTAGCTCAATACACATTTTGGTTTGATTATGTTTAATACACATTTTTGTTTGATTAGTTCAATACACATTTTTGTTTGATTAGTTCAATACACATTTTTTCTTGATTAGCTCAATACACATTTTGGTTTGATTAGTTCAATACACATTTTGTCTTGATTAGCTCAATACACATTTGGTTTGATTTATTCAATACATATTTTGGATTGATTAATTCACATTTTGGCTTATTAATTCAATGTAAATTTTGGCTTGATTCTTCAATATACATTTTAGTTTGGTTAATTCAATATACATTTTAGCTGAATTCATTTAATACACATTTTGGCTTGATTAATTCAAATTATACACATTTTGGTTTGATTTATTCAATACACATTTTGGATTGATTAATTCACATTTCGGCTTATTAATTCAATGTAAATTTTGGCTTGATTCTTCAATATACATTTTAGTTTGGTTAATTCAATATACATTTTAGCTGAATTAATTTAATACACATTTTGGCTTGATTAATTCAAATTATACACATTTTGGCTTAATTAATTCAATACACTTTTTGGCTTAATTAATTCAAATTATACACCTTTTAGTTGAATATAATCTAAATTATTTGGTTATAATTCAGTAATAAAATCTCTTAAATTACCAAGAAATTATGAAGTGGTCACGATTAGAATAAAAAAAATAGTTCATTAATTAACCAAAATTAGTTGCATAAAAATAATTAATCAGCCCAAATTCAGGGTTACTTATGAGTAGCTTTTAGTTAGCAGCGTTAACTTACAATCATTATTCAAACAAGACAAGAAAGATAAAGATTTAACACAACACTGACAAGAAAGATAAAGATTTAACACAACACTGACAGAAGATCTTTACCCTGGTCACAACACTGACAAGAGTTACATAAAGCTTTAACACAACACTGACAAGAGTTACATAAAGCTTTAACACAACACTGACAAGAGTTACATAAAGCTTTAACACAACACTGACAGAAGATCTTTACCCTGGTCACAAAGCTGAGGTCTAGGGATGTATCTTCCATCTCATTACTCACTCTCTCTATCTGTATCTGTATCCTGCAGATACAACACTGTGTTAGTTTGGTTCGTATCTCAGAGCTATACAGGTGTGTCAGCTCTGTACAGGTGTGTCAGCTCTGTACAGGTGTGTCAGCTCTAAAAATGTTTATCTGCTCTAAACAGGTGTGTCATCTCAATAAAAGTGTGTCAGCTCTACACAGTTGTGTCAGCTTTAGACAGGTGTGTAATCACTACACAGGTGTGTCATCTCAATAAAAGTGCGTCAGCTCTACACAGTTGTGTCAGCTCTACACACCTGATAGTGTTTCAGTAAGAAATGCTCTGATAGTGTTTCAGTAAGAAATAGAAATGCTCTGATAGTGTTTCAGTAAGAAATACTCTGATAGTGTTTCAGTAAGAAATGCTCTGATAGTGTTTCAGTAAGAAATAGAAATGCTCTGATAGTGTTTCAGTAAGAATTACTTTGATAGTGTTTCAGTAAGAAATGCTCTGATAGTGTTTCAGTAAGAAATGCTCTGATAGTGTTTCAGTAAGAAATGCTCTGATAGTGTTTCAGTAAGAAATGCTCTGATAGTGTTTCAGTAAGAAATGCTCTGATAGTGTTTCAGTAAGAAATGCTCTGATAGTGTTTTTTTTTTTTTTTTTTTTTTTTTTTTTTTTTTTTTTTTTTTTTTTTTTTTTTTTTTTTTTTTTTTTTTTTTTTTTTTTTTTTTTTTTTTTTTTTTTTTTTTTTTTTTTTTTTTTTATTTTTTTTTTTTTTTATTTTTATTTTTTATTTTTTTTTTTTTTCAGTAAGTAAGAAATAGGAATGCTCTGATAGTGTTTCAGTAAGCAATAGAAATGCGCTGATAGTGTTTCATTAAGAAATAGAAATGCGCTGATAGTGTTTCAGCTGTAAACATTCCTTTACTCACTTGTTATCTTTAGTCCACTTGAAGCTTTTCATTGCTTGCTTGGCTGAAGTTACTTTGTTATTTGATACACCAACTAATACATCACCCTAGTCAAATCAATATTACTTTGTTATGATTCATCATTATGCTGGAAATATTACATTATTATTACTATAATGAACCGACCCGCGGCGTATCATATGCCGCTATTTAGTTGTTTTACTTTCTACTTTTCAGTAATTCATAATTTGTGAATTCGACAGCACCAATGTTGCCACTGAAAATATTTGCTTTAAAACACTATCAGTAGCTCGTTAAGGATGATAACTCCACCCTCCTTTCCCCCAACTCCAACCCTCCCCCCCCCCTGTGAAAGCAGCCTCCTCTTAGTTACCTCCCCTAAGTTTAAAATCGTTTCAAACTAAATTATCTGCCCCTAATAGCAGTCACTAAACCCGGCTCTACAATTGTAAACATTTAGCGTGAACCACAGCTCACCAGACCATGTGGTGGTGGGGGTGGTAGGGATATGCCTAGAGAGGAAGAGAAGGGGCTGCTAGGCGCGCTTACAGCTTGGTGTTTTCTATGGTCTCCATGAAGAGAATTATATAATATATAGATAGATGATTGAAACAATATTTTGGTTTCTGTGATACATTACCCTCATAAAGAAAATGTAATCTGACAGTTAAATTAATTAATGGTGCATGATGTTTAATAAAAATAAACAACCAAAATATAAGAAATTAAGTAATTAAGTACAGGCTAAAATTAACATAAAACAAATAACAGAGTATGACCATACCACATGTACGCCAGCCACGTACGCTGGAGAGCCCATCACAACCTCAGCAATTATCACAATAGGATGGAACCTGTCTGCCAGTATTTCCTGACAACAAGCAGAGAGAATTTTAAGTTCTTGTGGCCAAATATAAGAGCATTATTTCAAATTTCTTCTGTGTAATATTACGCTTTATTATCTCCAAATGTATAACAAGTTTTAAAATACAGCATTTTAATGTAATCTGTCAAATCAACAATTTTAAGTTAAGACTTACTAATCTCTCACCAGAATTTTTTAAAACTTAATCTTTTTTTCAATATACTACTTAAGTACACTTACCTCTAAGTCATTTACACAATAATTATTTAAGAATAAACTTATATCTGTGACAGACAAAACTATTTTAGTTAAACGTAATATAAACATTATAGAGAGAATAGTTAGGCTTAAATCTTTAACCAATCAATCATTTCTCACTCAGCTAGATTTACATCTTTGACTAAGCACACCATTACTTTGAAGCTTCACTTACATCTTTGATTAACCACACAATTACTCTGAAGCTAGACATTCATTTTTGACTAACCACACAATTATTTTGAAGCTAGTCTTACATCTTTGACTAAACACACAATTATTTTGAAGCTAGACTTACATCTTTGACCATCATGCCCAAGGACTGATCTGTGGATGTCTTGACCAACTCTAGTGTCAACATTTTGTTTCTGCTTCTCTCCACACTCACCAGCTGTTTCCATGGCAGACTATCTAATAGGGGTGCAGCAATGTGCTCATTAGTTAATTAATGAAGAAGGCATCAACACATGAATTAATTAATTAATGAAGAAGACATCAATAAGTAAATTAACTGATCAACTTTAAATTTTGAATGAATTTAAACAGTACTTAGCCAAGCAAAATCTTTATTTATGAGATAAATGGCCCGTTGAGGAAGGATACAACGGGCACTAGGTTGATCCACCCCCCCCCCCCCCACCACACACACAAACACCCTAAAGCATGGCTGCCGTCCCATTCAACGAAATATAATTATATACTTGTTCCTGTGTCCGCCCCCTCCCAGAAAATTTAGTCCACCCCCGCCCCCAAAAATTTCAAGTAACCCCCCGCCCTTTCCAGGGAGGAAAAAAGTTTGAAAGAAACACTGGTCGCATTTGTAGATCATACAAACTAAAGGTAGTGCCTGGGAGAGGCTTTGTCCCTATCCGAAGAAATGCATGAAAGAAACTATGCACACATAACACTTTTAAGATTAGAACATTCAAATTAACCCCATCCTGTGGAGGAAAAAGTCTGATAGAAACACTGGTCGCACTTCCGGGTGTGGGGGGGGGGGGGGGGGAGGTGCTGCTTAGCTCCTACCCGAAGAGATGCATGAAAGAAATTCTTCACACAAACCATTTTTAAGATTAGACACACTAATTAGGCCGTAATGTCAGTCTTTTTTTATTGAGTATCGCTGACGTCATTTCTTATGAGGGGGGGGGGCGGCTTAGACGTTCTACTAGGGGTGGGGCTTTGCACCGTACCCGAAGAGATGCAATAAAGCGACTCTTTTCACGCAAAACACTTTTAAGATTAAATATATTAATTAAGCTATAATGTTAGTGTTTTTATTATAGAGTATGGATGACGTCATTTCTTTTGAGGGGGGGGGGGGGTTTCACCCCTACCCGAAAGAAACTCTACACGCAAACCACTTTTAAGATTAGACAACATTGGCTTTTTAATTCAATGTTTACTCAAGAATCAGTGACGTCATATTATTGTGTGCACTCTCCCGGCTTGCGACTATTTCCTACTATTTCCGTTTTGTTTTTCTAATTACTATGCATGTTTTTACTCGGCTTATGTATTCTCTATAGGGTTCTTGTCAGATAGAATAAGATAGATACACAGACAGCGAAGCTATTATTATAGATGTTTTTAGAAAAACCTTAGACTGCTATTGTATTTCTTTCACACCCCTTCCCACCCCCCTCAAACAAGATCTGGTTGAGAAGTTATGAATGAATTGACAATAATTTTTAAATCCCATAGCATACAATTTTTCCCCGAATTTTTTAAGCTTTGTAGCTAACCGGCAAAAGTTGACAAAAATAAAATAGCTGCAAAACAACTAGGAGAAAATGAAAAAAGTGTAGGAAAATTGCAGCTAAAACAGAAAAATCGGATTTCAGCTTCAACTAAAAAAAGTCCCATTCCTGATATCACCATTCTCAAACTTACCAACAGAAATGGTGCAGTAGAGTTTTGATCCTTTAGCAACAAAGGGCAGCCTGCTGGCAGACAAGACGGTCACCTCCAGGTCACCCATGCAGATGTCCACTCCGTCCATCTGCAGGTGGTGCTCAGTCTCTCTCCCAGGGTCGGGCCGGGGAGGGAAGAAAGGTTTGAATCGCATCTTGTACATGGGCAGGGTGTGTTTTTTCCTGACGATCTTCCGCATCTAAGGAAATTAACAAAGCTTTTAGTGTTGACAGATCTGAGATATTTTTAAAGGTTCAGTTAAACTTACTCAGAACATAGATATTGGTGGCCAATACACAGATATTGGTGGCCAACACAAAGACAATGGTGGCCAATACACAGACATTGGTGGCCAATACACACAGACATTGGTGGCCAATACACACAGACATTGGAGGCCACTACACACAGATTGGTGGCCAATACACACAGATATTGGTGGCCAATACATACAGACACTGGTGGCAGTGGTGGCCAATACACACAGATATTGCTGGCCAAATACACACAGATCATGGTGGCCAATACACACAGACATTGGTGGCCAATACACAGACATTGCTGGCCAATACACACAGATATTGCTGGCCAAATACACACAGACACTGGTGAACAATTTATAACCATAATCAGCTGTCAATCACAATATAGATCTAAAGATCAGCAGAAGTACCTGGTTAGCGATGATGTTTCTAAGTTTGGTCATTGGTCGACCGTCTAACTGGGCACTCACATCTAGTTCAATTTCTGGCTCCTGCAATGTGTAGACAAGAAAGGGTTAAAATACATAAGCCAAATAACTTGAGATCTAATTCAGGCAATTATTTTAGCTGGCAATAAATGGAATCATTTTGCGTACGCCCTTCAACATACAACCTTATATGTATGTGTATCCATAAATATGAAGGTATGTCTGTATGTGTGTCTGCCCTTTAAGCATTTCTACACCTTTTATCCTGGGAATATTTCTGAGATAAAAGAAAAAAAAGATCTACCAAGCAGCTATCTTAGTACCTGGGATCTGTTGAATGGGTGTCCTGACAGGGGGTCTGGGGTACTACATAATTCAAAAGTTCAAACAACCCCAGGTGCATCCACCATCGCTACGGAGGTCGGGTGCCCAGAAGCACACTATGCTTCCTTGAGACCACTATGCAGCCACCTATGTTCTTTTAAAGAGTGCCATACACTAGGGACAAAGTGGACTACTGTAATAGTTGACTAAATTGTTCCACACTCGTGTCGACGGCCGGGAGACCAGGGACATCCCAGGCTCCCTTATAAGACATGCTAGGCCACTACATTTGATGACTAGACCAAAACAGGAGTTGCACCCTGCATTCCTACAGTAATGTAACCTATGGCTTCAAAGAGTGCATCATGATGCTCAAGAGACATGGGTGATTGCTGAGCTGTGTTCAACCACACAATTATGGGGGTGATTAATGCACACTTAAAGTGTTCATAAAGCATGCTTCTGTCATTTGGTTATTATTAGTACAACTTATAGTAAAATTATTTGATTATCAATAAAATTTGTTTTTAGAAAAAGGAAAAGAAATTCTTAGGACTGTTATGGATATAGTTGTTTGACAGGAAAGATTTTATTTTCAGTGTCTCATTTTACTATGCATGTCATAAAACTGAAGTTACCATATAAAAGGACACTGACCAATGGCTAGGACGGAAAACTTACCTCATAAAAAGACATTGACCAATGGCTATAACTGAAAACTTACCTCATAAAAAGACATTGACCAATGACTGAATGGTAGCAGTGTGAAACGAAACCGGACAAGACCTCTAACTTTGAGAACTTTGACGGACACAAAAGCCATCCTCCCAAATGGCAATGCAGCATCAATAGCAATCTGGAATCCTCCATCATACACAACTCTGGCCTTGAGGTCTAGTGTCTGAAAATTTTAGTTAATGAACTTGCATCAATATTGGCAGATTGTTGTATAGGTGTTGACATTAGTCTACAGGCGTTTGGAATAATCTATAGGTGTTATCATCAGTTAATCTACAGATGTTGACATTAATCTAACAAATGTTTCCGTCATTAATCTGTCAGTTTTAATGGTTTCTGGTTTGTAATTAAAACAAAACTTGTTTTTTTATATTTTTAAAAATTGTATCTTGTAAAATAATGATTTCAATAGAAAGAAAATATGATGATTAAAATATGAAAAAAAATATGATGATTAAATGAAAATAAAAATATGATTTTTTAAATAAAAACAAAAATATTAGGATTTAAATATAAACAAAAGTATGAAGATTTAAATATAAAAAAGGGATGTTAAAATAATCCTAGACAAGCAAAAGCAAGTGTTTTATTTCACCTGTATGATGTCATTGCTGACGTCTGCTTGGTCAACAGATATAGCCATGAAAACTGGAAACTTGTCTCCCAAGTTGAAATCACGAAGCTTTTACACAAGAAACAAATCATTATCTCTTGTATACAAAAACTACATCAAAGTGTTGAAATTAGGTGATCTAAACACAAACCCACAGTTTTAAAAAAAATTACTGAACAACAGACCACAGATTTAAAATCCCATGGACTAAACCAGGGGTCTCCAAACTACGGCCCGCGGGCCGGATGCGGCCCGCGATGTCCTCTCATCTGGCCCGCGGGGATCTTTTTGTCCACGGAAAAACCGTTTGTTGGTGATGGTTGAGGAACTTTGCCCAGAAAAATCAAAGACATGCCCAGAAGAAACTGGCCCCCGAACTGAAATTTGATAGTCAATGCGGCCCTCGGACTGAAAAGTTTGGAGACCCCTGGACTAAACCACACACATATAAACCCTAAACATACCCCAACCACACTAAACAATAAAAAACCTGAACAGATTTCTCATCCAGATTTTTAATGTTTAGATGCTAACTAGATATAAAACAAGTATTAGGCCATAAAGATAATGTCTTTAATAATATTAAAAATAAGTAAAATGTTGAAGAAAAGTAGATGATATGAACAAGAGGGTCTACATGTTTTAAAAACAGTAAGAGTGTAGAACAAGAGACAGACCCCTATGTCTATATGTTTTTAAAAAGTATGAGTGTATAAACAAGAGAAAGACTCACAAAGAGTTCATCAACAAACACTCCACTCTTTGACTTGAGGACCTCTTCAAACTCCACCTGGATTTTCTTTGTGATAAATCTAACAGATCAAAACAAAAATCATTTCAATAGTCAATTTATCACATTTATTTTTAAGAAAAATAATAGAAATATAAACCAGATTTTATTAATGGTCAAATATTTCGAACATTAAATATTTTGGGACAAAAAAAAGTTGATGCTGCCAAATATCACCTATATTTAATTTTGATTAGAACAATTTTTTTTTTAGATTTGTTTTACCAGTCAACTATATTAATTCTGACAATAATTTGTTGTTGGCAATAAAAACAAGAAACATTCTACTTAGATGGTGAAATACTGCTTTCATTCAATGTAATCAAATGTTGAATCAATGTTTGTAAAGTAAGTTTTGATTGTTTTTCCTTTCCTTATTAAGTGCCATTTATCTGTTGCATTAATCATTTAGCATCATTTCATTATGATGCCTGAGAACATTTATGTGTTTTTGTTGTTCAAACCATTCACTTCTTTAGTTAGTACACAACAACAAACAATAAAGACTGCATAGATTTATCACATTTTATTTATAAAACTAGAATTTATTCCACAGGCAAACGTTTGAAAAGATTTAATGTACTGAACTATTTACTGAGCAACTCACCTTCGTATTTGTAAGGAATCTCTCAGTTCAGAAAAAAGAAACTGCATTAAAAAATTCCACCATATACAATCTTCTTTTTGTTTGAGACTGGAGTGATCTAAGCGATTTTTTAGGACCTATGGAACAGCAAGACATGAGTATTCAGCTGGCGTTGGCATATAGAGAGACAAAAGTAGCACAGAGAGATTGCAAAAAGAGTTAAATTATAATCTGACATGTTTTAGGAGTGCCCTGCTTAATAGGGCAGATGAAGTAAAGTTCATGTATTTCTCAGTATACAAATAGGCTGTGAGGTCAGCACTTTTAAAACAGTAATAACTTTCTCAGAACAGAATCAGGTACACATCACAGCTGAGTGGACTCAGGCAACTCCTACAGACTCAAGTCTATGAACCAAACACAAGACCTTTGGGTAAGTGGTCATGTACTTTAGCACTTCACTACACAGTCCTATACTTTTTTTAAACTGAGATGGTAAAACATGAACTTGAAACTGGTTGTGACATGAGCTGCACTCAAGTTAGAAGTCTTAAAGCCAGTCGATGTGACACGTTTATGTTTAACTTGCTCAATGTGGTTTGAAAGGGAAAATCAAAGAAAAAAGAGATAGCTCAAGACAAAGAGAGATTCATTAAAAAAGAATAACCAGAGTTAAAGAAAGAAATTATTAAAAATATAACTGTAAAGGAACAGAACACCTAATATAAATGAATATAATAATAAAGGGACAAAACACCTAATATAAATGAATATAACAGTAAAGGGACAAAACACCCTAGTATACATGAATATAAAAGGGACAAACACCTAATATAAATGAATATAACTGTAAGATACAAAATACTTAATATAAAAAAAAATAAAATAGTAAAGAGAAAGAACACCGAATGTACATTATTACCTCAGGTAGTTGAATGTCCCGAGGTTCACATTGTGGGGGCGGAGCTACTGGTAAACTTCTAACATACTTGTAGACAAAAAGTAGCTCCAAAAACAACATCACCCCCATCCCCACCAGAAAAGAAATGAGCATCAAGACCATCTTGTCCGTCAGTATCTCATAGTAAATCTGGACGAAATAGACCAAGTACTGAACCACCGGCAGTTCCGCTATGTAATCGAGGGTGGAGCTGAGTGTGTTCGGCAGGTCCATGTTGAAGTTGAGCCCAGGCTTAGCAGACGACACAGAAGAAAAAAACCTGGCTACACCCAGCACAAAGTGTCTCCCTTATCAGCGCTTATGCCCATTGTGAGGTGCTAATCCTTTCCAATCAACAAATCTATATGGCCAGACTCGAGCAGCGACATCTGTGTTCAAAGCTCAAGTTACTTTGTGTTGACATTCTCCAATACATTCTGCAAAAAGTGGGTACATCTGAAGATACACAGATAATAGATGCAAATCTAAATGTGATTTAGTATTAGTATAAGGGAGCAGAAAAGCAGATAGATGATGATAGGTATATATTGGCCTAAATATTTTTAATATACACATATACATAATGCTATATTAATATATATGTAATTAAATATATAATTAAATATATAATTATATATGTATATATATATATATATATATATATATATATATATATATATATATATATATATATATATATATATATATATATATATATATATATATATATATATATATATATATATATATAGAGGCCTATATAAATGAAAAATCAATTTTAAAATACCTCACCAGCTATACAAATAGTAACAGAAAATCAATGCCCTTATTTGATATTAACAGGAATTTTTATTTTTATTAACAACAGGCTTTTAAAAAGAGAGGTGAGTGCATTGGTGTTAATGTATACATGATCATCCCATGACAGACCAAGCTGTTACATGGAGACATGGTATAAACATTCCACTAAGTATTAGTTAGATTGAACAACCGGTACAAACCATTAAACTCCTGAATGTTATTTGTTTGGTTATATGTTTCATTTAATGTGTAACTATTTAAGTAGTCAGAATATATACATATAATTAAAAATATGCATACATATACATACATATTTTATGTTATTAATAACTGTATATAATAATCGCATGTTCTATTAAAATGTGTTAATTATGTTAATGAATAGGGCCAATGTATCAATACGTGTGTTTAGATATTAAATTTTATTAGCTGTCTAGATCATTTTAAAAAAAATAGAAATAATACATATTATTAAACAATTTTTATTTTTTTATTTTTAAACCTATATTGGTAAAAAATTGTTTATAAACATGTACTATGTGTAGTACATATAGTTTATTCAGAAACCAAATTATCAAAAGAGATGAAACACAGACATGACCACTAAACTGCTAATCTTTATGACTTAAACATAAATACAATAAACATGTTAGTATATAAATTAACTCTGGCTTCAGTTCTATGTTTATTAAATAAGCATACAATTCAATGATTAATACTACAATTAAATAGAAATGTTTATAAAAAAGAAAAAGGGCTAAAGGGGGGGGGGGGGTGTTGTATTGTGACTATGTGTAAAAAGGGGGGAAGAGGGGGATTCAGATAGTGTGTCGTCACTATCAAGAAAAAAGTAATGGTAGAAACTGAATTTTAGCTGTTTTTGTTTTAGCGTTTTTTAAAACTGTTTTGGTAAATTGTAATAAAAAGCGGTATATGTTAAACAAAGTTATATGTTAAACAAACTCAGTCAATATTTTAGAAAGAAATTGATTTTTAAAACAATATTAAACTGCAATTTAAGGGGGTGGGGGTTGTAGGCTGAGGTGTGACATCATTTAGGGGGGATCTAGCATTTTGGAGATGATGTGTAACGGAGGGGAGGGAAAGGTAAAAATCATTTAAAAAACATGATCACTTATATTCATGTAGATCAGTCCTACCCTTAGTTAAACTAAGTGAGAAAACCATTTGAAAAATAACAAATGACTGAAGAGAGCATTAATTTTTTAAATTCAAGTTTGAGATTATTTCTATGGTCTCTGACTTTGATATCTTTTTAAAGATTCAACATTAAATTTAATCAGAATGCAGAAAATACTAATATCTTTAACAATAGTTTAGTCACACAAGGAAATTTAAAAGATGTATAGTGAAAGGCCGTGACGTCACATGGATTATATAGGGAGTTTTCAAAACAAAATGAAATGTGAACAGTTTTAAAGCCGGAAAAGTACACATAGTAAAATGACATTATTGATTCTAGAGTAAACATAAAATTAAAAAGCCATTGGCAAAAAAAATTCACATTAATAATGATGTCATCGATATTTGATAATATAGACACTAACATTATTGCCTGATTAATTTGTCTAATCTTAAAAGTGTAGTTTCTTTCAGGCATCTCTTTGTCTCTTTAGATAGAGGGGGGGGGGAGAAGAATTTTTACCAGTGTCAGCCTACCTTCCCCGGAGAATTTAATCTGCCCGCCCCCCCCACTCACCTAAAAAAATTCTAGTGCTCCCCTTCCCCTCAGAGAAAAAGTCTGAAAGAAACAACACTATATGCTTGATTGAGGTTTAACAGAGAAAAGTAGGAAACAGGTCTAGATTATAGTTTGTATGATTTACAAATGCAACCAGTCTTACTTTCGGAATTATCTGTCCCGGGAGGATGTGGGGATACTTGAAAAAAAAAAATTTGGGGGGGGGGGGGGGGAGACACTGGAAAAAAATATTTTCTAAATACATATCTATTTTTGGAAGAGTCTATCATCTGACATCGATATCTTATTCTGGATTTACTCTATTCTAGAATCTAGAACTCTAAAATAGAATCTAGATAGCTACCTTTACGGTTGTGGCTATTAGTAGTTCACTACAAATAGCCCTCAGTAGGCTATTTGTACACTAACCAATCAGAGCGAGGCATTTTTCTGTGATTAATACATTCCCCTATTTATGCAATGTATACTTTTATGTAGAAATAATGTTTTTGAATCCAACCCTGAACTCTAACCCCTAATGCCTAACCCTAATGTCTAACTCTAATCCAAATGCCTAAACATACCCTAATGTCTAACCCTAAACTTAACCTAAATCCCTAATGCTAAACCCCTAACCCTAAAGTAAAATAGAAAAAAAAAGTAAAAATAAATATGCATGCATGCACAGGACAATAAATTTAGAAATAAATTTGATTGGTCGTCTAAAAATAGCGAACTATGAATAGCCTTCAGAGAGCTATTTGTAGTAAACTACAGACACTCTCCCTTTTAATTTTAAACTTTTACCTAGATTTCTAGAGATTTCTAGACTAGATCTAGATCAAAAAGTAAAGTTATTAAATAAAGGGATCTACAAACTTATATTAAAAATTAGTAGTATTGCTCGCAACCCTGGAGGCGTGGCTGGTTTCTAACAACAATATGGCGTCCACACCCGATGCATGAATTCCCAGCGATTTTTGGTCTTAGTTCCAGTCACCTTTTTAGAATTACTTTTTAAAATGTTTACCACAAGCACAATGGGGGGGGGGGGGGGGGGGGGGTTTCATGTTAAAAAAACAAGCTATAGGTGGCAGGGATAAATATGCCAGAAAAGTATTTTAAAATTTGCTTTGGAGAATGAAAGCTAAATTTAAAAGTTGGTGTCAATAAAAATAATAGAACTTTTAAATTATCAGCCTGGTGTGTACAAAAATAAATTGAGGGTTGCAGAACTAGATCTAATAGGTTTATCAAGTCTACAAAAAAAAATGAAGTATAGCATGCCAAATTTTTTTTAACCACCTGACCGCAATTTGGTTGATCACTAGTGAGTGAGGAACTCTAGTGCATAGGGGTCATCCATAAATGACGTCACACTCGTAGGGGGGAGAAGGGTCTGTAATTTTGTGACGATGTGTGATGAGGTGGAGGGGGGGGGGGGGGGGGTTCAGATGTTGCGACGTCACATTTTTGCATTATAAAAAAGCAATGTTAGAAAACAAATTTTAGACGTTATTTCGCATTTTAGATAAATGTTTTAATAAATTGTAATAGTTTAGACAAGATTTTAGAAAAATATCGATGTTTTAAAAAAATTCAACTGCAATTTTGAGGGGGGTTGTAGGTTGCGGTGTGACGTCATTTTAGGGGGGAGGGGGTTTGGCTTTTTGTGACGGCGTGTGATGGAGGGGAGGGGGGGAGGTAAAAATCATCAAAAAAAGCGTGACGTCATTTATGGATGACCCCTTAGTCAATTGAAAAGTTCAACCAATTCGTGGTATACTGTAGCCTCAAACGTAAGAGTGACATTACATGAGTTGTTATGGAAGGATGTGTCGTACCATAGCTGTGAGTGACAATAAATTAAATTTAGCAATTTAGTTTAAGTTTAAATTAAAACAAACTAAAAACCTCAAAATTCAAAATTAGTAAAATTAGTGCCTAATAAATTATTAGTAATAATTAATTGATTAAAAATGGATGTCTATTATTCAGTGATCAAGTTTGATTGAAAACTGAGTAAATTTCAGATTTAGTGAGAAAAACTAACCTAGATTCTAAATCTAGTAATCTAGACTAGATCTAGATTCTAGATCTAGATTCTAGATCTAGACTATCTTTCTAGTCTGGATGATCATGATTCATGATGGATCCCAAATCTAGAATCAAGATCTATTCTAGATCTCTAGATCAAGATTTCTAGGTCTAGATACTAGATCATTTGTATTCAAAATATACAAAAACATTATTATAGATCTACCTAAACATAACGAGAGTTAAGAGTATATCTGCTACCTTTCATATTGTTACAATGCACAGAAGTGCGGAGTCAAAATAGAAAGAACACAGACAGCTGTCTCGGTTGTCGCCATATTTGTTGATAATTTTTCTAACTAGATTTTCTGAGTAACTTCCCTTGTGTTTATGTGATTTCCTTTTTTATCAGCATACAGAGCTGGCCCATACTAGTAACTCCATTATTGTTGTTTTTATTCCAGCTATCTTTAGACGACTTGCATAAATTATTTCATGCGTGCACTTTTCGCAAACAGACATCGACTTTACATGAAATGTAGTAGGCTTAAATTTTAAATGTTGACAGCCCACTTCAGGAGCAAGTGGTGTAGGCTAGTGACGTTGTCAACATCTCGTAAACGGGAGGGGGGGGGGGATTTTGATTTATGAATATATAAAACCACCTTGCCTAAGCCACTGGTGTAAGCAGGGCTTGTCATGGTGGGTGAGGGAGTTGGGGGTTCAGTGTTACTTCCAGACTTTTTTATCCCCTGGGGGGAGGGGCACTTTCGGGTGGGGGGCGGTGGATCTGACACTGGTAAAAGTATATATTTTCTATATAAATTGTATTTTGTTCGGGGGGGGGGGGGAAGACAATTTTTTGGCAGAGTCAACCACCCCCCTCCCCCTCCCCCGAAGAGATGCCTAGAAAGTCTACCGCCCCCAGAACGAAATGGAATTGATAAAGAAAATATATACTTTTATCATTGTCCGCCCCCCCCCTCTCCCGGAGAAAAAGTCTGAAAGAAACACTGATATTTTTGTGGTTCCTTGTGTGGAACTATTTCTAACACCCCCTCCTAATGCCACTGACTGTAAACAGTGTGTATGGTGAACAACGGCATACAATGCATTATTTGAGTATGTGCTATAGCCATATGTATGTTAGCATTTACAGATGATTTCACTTCCAGCTTGGTTGTAACTATATTTCATAAGGTATCATAACAACAACTTGACTTTATAGATTACACTAAGAAAAGTATGTAGGGCATACATATCGTCAACAGGAAGTTGTTTAAAGTCAGCAGATGCTGATTAGCAATCGGTTAAGATTTGGATATATAGGCATGTATAAATAAGTATATATATATATATATATATATATATATATATATATATATATATATTATCTCTCTCTCTCTCTCTCTCTCTCTATATATATATATATATATATATATATATATATATATATATATATATATATATATATATATATATATATATATCTTGCTTGGGTATAAATGTATCTAATTTTACTTGATGGTGTCGACTCTTACACCCCGTACTATAGCACTGTGTGACACAGACTTCCGCCAGGAGAGTATCACAATTTTTACACCCGGGCTGTAAATCCCCATGTTTGTGTCCGATGCCTAAGTCTGTGGACACAAGTCCTTGACTTTTTATGACCTTCGCCTCGAACTGATAACTGTGACGCCATCTAACCCAGATCAGCACCTAGCACTGACTAGCCACAGACCTCCCGGAGTCGACACGCCATAAAAGAAACTTCTAAAGCTGTAAACTAAAAACCAGTTACAATACTGTTTACGTAGTTTTCCCCCCTACATTTTTATTTTTAATAGAAGGGAGATAACTTTTTTGGAGCAGTGTAATTTTATTATAGTTAGCGTTACTGGCGACTTCTTTCTGCTCAATAAAATATTATAAGCAGTGATTTTTATAAACTGTACTAGCAATAACATTTTTTTACTGTAATGCTTTTGATAAGGTCTTCTATTCTTGTAAAAGGAAATAAACTTCCTTGTCAGCGATTTGTTTTAATTAAAAACATTTTCTATGCATTATCATCATCGCCAACATCATCATCATCATCCCTTAACCCTTTATTGGGGTCTTTGGGGATACCACAGTTGACCTTATAATACTCCACAATCCATCTTGGTCCTCTGTCGCCCTGAATAGTTATGATAAATTATTACATTAAAGCTAAAAAAAATATTTAAAAAAATAATAATAATATTTTGGATAGTTTCAGAATACTTTGCTGAATTCACATTAACTAACTTGTTTTTTCTTCACGCATCATGATTGCCCTGTAGTCAACAGCTTATATACCATACCTCTTTTAATGCTCATGAAATAATTGACTCATATTTTAATCTATACTAGGCCTTCTATGTATTTACAATATATATTCCTTGTACTTTTGTTTACTAAGGAAGTTCAAATAACGCTGGATGCCTAATATTACTTAACTTACCCCTGCTATTCTGGCTAAATACTTATGCAGATCTATATATACCTAACTAAATTTACCCTGGCGAACTACAGTCTGTTTAAAAACAAAAATCCACTGTTTAGGCTTTTAATACCTAAAAGGGTCGACTTTCTAACCAATTTTTTTAGCGAAACAAAACAACTTGTGCGGTAGCCTACCACATGGCATTTTGCGTTTACTTTCGTGGACTTTGAAAAAAGAGAGTCAAAATTGATCTGATCCCTGTTAAGGTAGAGCACCAGTCGCATTGTTCCACGGAGCCGCCCCGACGGTTGTAATGTGATCTTCTTGAAAGCATCGAACAGCCGCGGAAGCTGGGGTTAGGTTTACAGCTCTCGCAGGGTTTAGGTTTACAGCTCCGGCAGGGTTTAGGGTTACAGCTCCGGCTCAACTGTATCAGCATAAATCTGCCAGCACAGGTACCAGTGTTAAGGGAGGTGACATTGTCATTAAGTTTTTGGCGCGGGGGTGCAGTTTTATTTTCAGACACGGACGGGCCAAGGTGTGATGCTGATACTTGCCTGCTGGAGTGGAAGATGGAATTCCCTTTTATAACACAACAAAGTTTTCTTTTAAAAAAGAATTAGAAAAAAAAAAGAAAAAAAAATGTTATTTTTATTTTGAAATAAAATGGCATTGAAATCAATAGATTAAAGTAATTTTCTATTTAATTAAGCTAAAACTACTTAAGATTTATTGCGTTGGCATTTTAATGCGAGTTACAGATAAAAGTATAAATAGTGAGTTAGAAATTGGTTTAAAAAAAAGGTTTACAGTAAGGTTGATATGATAGTTTAAAATAAATTTACGGATAGGTTCAATATAGGCAAAGTGATGTTTATAAAGAGGGGGAAAAGTATATTGGGGGAGGGGGGAGGGGGATGAGTCGTGAATAAATTACGTCATATGTTTACAATCGATTTTATAACCCCATATACCCACCTTATCGTCACGATTCAGGCTAAACACCCCTCTCCCCACCTCTCAATAGCAATATTTCTGTATCAAAAGTTCTGCTTTTACAGGTTGACACAATGAGTTGTGTCTAAGTTTGGTACAATGAATTGTATTTAAATTTAAGTTACTAAGGAAGAAAAAAAACTTACACAAAAATGCGATGTAAATATGTTTAAACTTTTAAAAATATAAAAGTGTGATGTCACACCTTCTTCACCCCACCCTCTCCCTCTCGTAACACCTCGCTACAAACAGCTCACCCCACCCACGTCCAGTATGACGTAATTAAAGACTCTTTCTTATTCCATCGCTGATCCCAAGTGCTGCATCGCAGTCAAGTTCCGAAACCTTGAAAAACAAATGAACAAACTGTGTAGCTCCATTCAAATTACTTAGTTAAGTTTCGTTTTAGGTTTATTTTCTAATTTAAATTTATTCTTAACATGAGTTTTTAGGCAGAAACAAAGCGTATGCCTAAAGTAACCTATCATCGAAACTGAATGAGGAAAAGGAAGAAAGACAAAACCCTATAAACCTAATGACCTGCATTGTCCATTTATCGAATTTATCAAGAAAGTTCAAAACTCATTGAAATTCAAGGTCCCACTCATTGTCTCATCGCGAAAAGCAATAAAAATCCTCGCCAAAATCTCCTCAGAAGTTTTAGATCTGTCGTCCGAAAATTGCAGTTTTTAACACATCCTCACTATCCACAAGGGCCAGTAACAACCTGTTGGTTTTTTCCCCTCTAGAGTTACCCGCCCTGAGTTTCTACAGAGTAGGTTTTTATAGGTGTTTTATTTCCACGGTTTCCTGTAAATGTCATGCCCGGTTTTTACGCCCCCGGCTCGCACAAAGCTGTCCGTTTTACGACGAGGCTCGGACATAAGGGGTTCGGGTCACTGCGACGCTGGGTCGGTGTGAAAATTTGACGTAGTAAAATAAAAAAGTGAGGATCAGAGAGTCTGATTTTATAACAAGCGGCTTAACTTCGTGGGGACTTTGAAATCCTTGAATTGTCTGCCTCATTGGTTGAGGTGGGGAGCTATGGATGAGAGACGGGCGGATCGTTTAGTACGGGTTTACTTAAAAATAAAAACCCGGGCGGTAAAAAGGGAACAAATAATGGAGTAATTGGACCGGAAAGACTAAAGGTGAAGTGAGCATCAGAAAGTTGAAAGCGAGACAACTCGTCACAGAATCACAGCTGCCGAGTTAAAGGGAAGTTATCGGTTGGTTAAGAAATAGTCTGGTTGATTGATTGTAAGTTGAAAAACCGAAGCTTAACTTACTTTCCTTTAAGAAATACTGAAAATTAAAAAAAAAAAAACATACAGATGTGTATACTAGTTTCACATCTACTCTTTAAAACCCATGGCCTATCTAAATCCCAGACTTTTACCTAAACCTAATCTAATTAAAATCCTAGCCCTTATATGAGCATGTCAACAAGTTGATATAGTTGATAGGACAAAATAAGACGAAACCAATAATAAAACCCACTGGAAAAAAAGTTATTTTCTTTGGATTAATCTCGATACGCTTAACCAGGTTTTCATTTGTTATCGCATCTGTTTCGACTTTCGTTGATTTTATTTTCACAAAGAAGTCGTCTCGGTTTTCGTCGGTTGCCCAGGATTATCAGGCGGCTACGTTGACTACAAATGACGGCCACCTGTTTCTCACTCTCAGGTGCGCGGTGGGGCGGTTGCTCAGTAGTTTTGGACCTGCCGCTTACGTAGTCTTTTTGTAAAATAAAGCTCAATAAACCCTACTGTTACGTCCGAGGTTAGTTTCAGATAAACAACTCTTTGTGACTTCGTTCACTACTTTTATTCCGTCTCAAATATATACATTCAAGAGTAGCCCTCGTCCTAATCGCTAGCA